CAATCTCTGAAATATGAGCCAGTAGTGTGTGGCAGCAGCCAAAAAGGCTAATACAATCCTTGGTTGTATAAACAGAGGCATAGGATCAAAATCACATGACGTATTGCTACTGCTTTATAAAGCCTTAGTAAGTCCAGACCTGGAATACAGCATCCAGTTTTGGTCACCACATTACAAAACAAAATGTTGAGACTTTGGAAAAAGTGCAAAGAAAAGCAACTAAGATGATTAAAGGCCTGGAGACTAAAACATATGAAGAACGGTTGCAGGATTTGGGTTTGACTAGTCTAAAGAAAAGAAAGACTCGGGACATGAAAGCAATATTCCAGTATTTGAGAGGTTGCCACAAAAAGGAGGTCAACTTATTTTTCCAAAGCACTAGGGAGCAGGACAAGAAACAATTGACGGAAACTAATCAAGGAGAGAAGCAACCTGGAATTGTAACAGTGAGGACAATTAACCTGTGGAATAGCTTGCTTTCTGAAGTTGTAGGTACTTCATCATTGGAAGTTTTTAACAGACTGACAGTCACTTCTCTGAAGTGGTGGAAGGCAGGGGTCCCCAACCTATGGGCCGTGGCCCATGAAATGGCTGGCTGGTGCCCACACGCGTGCATGCACACTTCTACTTGCACTAGCGCCTGCAGCCCCGTTTGCGTGGGTGTGAACGGGGCCGCTAGCACTGGGCAGGTGTGCGTGGCTTGTTTGCACATGCGTGAACAGGCCAGGTGGGTTGCGTAGCCCATTTGTGCATGTGTGAATGGGGCCACTAACTATCACATGGCACCAGTGCATGCCGCATGAACGAACAGGGTTGCTAGTGCTGCGCCAATGCGTGTGGCTCTGTTTGCGCATCAATTTGGAAGCTGCTCTCCTTCCCTCCAGGCCGTGAACCCAAAAAGGTTGGAGACCTCTAGTGTAGGGTCTCCTGTTGAGCAGGGGGTTGGACTAGAATTGGTGCACGCACCAAATTGGTGCATGCATTCATGTGCATGCAAACAGCCATGCACATTGGCGGGCACTAGCAGCCCCATTCACGCATGCGCCGATGCCGTGCAGATGCAAGAACAGCCGTGCACCCCTGCATTGGCTCATGGCCCCATTCATGCATGCACAAATGGGCTGCGCAACCCATCCCGCGCTAGCAGCTTTGTTTACGCATGAATAAGCGGGCCACGCACATCCGCCCAGCACTAGTAGCCCCGTTCACACCCAAACAGGGCTGCAGGTGCTAGAGTAAGTGGGGGGGAAGTGCACGCACATGCATGCGCACACCAACCAGCCATTTCCGCGGCTTAAAGGTTGGAGACCCCTAGACTAGAAGACCTCCAAGGTCCCTTCCAGCTCTATTCTTATTGATTGATTAGTTTACAACAAAAATGTTGCTTTAGGTATATTCTGATATATGGTATATTAATGGGTGAACACATTTAAAAGGTGTCTCTAATCCTCCTGTCTTCAAGGTGCTTAAATTAGCAAACATGTTTTCCCATTTCATCCCAGTTTTTCCCCACCAATCTTTGATAGAAATGTTAGACTAATACCACAGGGAAAGATCCAAGTTCAGTTTGGGATTTATTTTCAGTTATGAAAGGAAGTTTATGTTCTTGATGAATAATAAAATGTTTAAATGGATATCGGAGTCCAAGTCAGTGAGCAAGACAGAGATTACCTTTTTCAATCTTTTGACAAGGAAAGTCAATGGGGAAGCCCGATTCGCTTAAAAACCATGTTGCTAATTTAACAAATGCAGTGATTCACTTAACAACTGTGGCAAGAAAGGTCTTCAAACGAGGCAGAACTCACTTAACAAATGTCTCTCTTAGCAACATAAATTTTGGCCTCAATTGTGGTCATAAGTCGAGGACTGATTGTATGAAATCAGTTTCTTACAATTTTAAGATTAGATCAATTCAGCAAAAAAAAAAAAAGCACCCTTATATATGTGTATATATCCTGAACGTTTCAGGGAATATTCAAGAAACTATCATTACAATTGCAACTGCAACACGGGCGCTTAGCCCATGTGGTTTTGGCTGCCCAAGACTAGTAGCTCTGTTTGGTTCAGGTTTTATCCTGTCATTAAGGAGGACAGCTTTAACATGCATCATGCCTGACACTAAGTTTTAGCAATGTTGCTGCTTTCTGAATATGGTTAAAATGCTAAACACTGTGAGAGAAAACAACAACAGTTTGAACAGTTCTTGTTTGTTATCAGATGTTCTACGGACTCCATATGCAGGTATTCAGGAGAGAAAAGCAAAGCAATGTGTGAAAGCTCTTGTTGAAAATATTCATTTATTTATTTATAGTTTCAATATACCATCACATTCCTAAAAATACTTTGGCAATTTTCTTGCAATTGAATGTGCAACCTATTTAGTCAAGGAAAGACTTATCTCTGCAGAATTATTTAAATACATATGTTTATTTTGTTGCCTATCACAGAAAGGTAGGATAACAAAACTTTGACAACTCACATGAAGGATTAGATATAATTTCTCTTCAAATTCTGCTCAGTTACACTACTGTCATTTTTGTGCTATACTGCAATCAACATTAAATCCTATTTATACTTAAACTAAGCTCTGCTTAACCAAAATAGCTTTGTTTCCAAGTAAACGTACATAGTTTACATTTTAGTTTATTCCATTTTTAAAACTAATTTCAGACAGCTTTACAAAATACAGTGCAAACAAGACAAGAAAAATAGCAGTCAATTACATCCACAGTAGTCCAATATTAAAATCAGTCCCAGAGCATGGATCAGGGGTAGTCAACCTTGGCTCTTTTATGACTCGTGGACTTCAATTCCCAGAATTCCTGAGCCAGCTTAGCTGGCTCAGGAATTCTGGGAGTTGAAGTCCACGAGTCATAAAAGAGCCAAGGTTGACTACCCCTGGCATGGATTGTTGTTTTGATAGAAGCTGGACTGTTTTGCTGCAAATAGCAAAATTTCTAAATCTATTTGGTGTATTATTTCCTGGCCTCGATAAAAGTGCAAATCAAATAGGAACCACTACCACCAGTGAAATCCTTTTGTAACTTCTTTTATAAAAACATATGTGTCTCTAATGGTTCTATCAGAAGGTGGAAACAATTAGCTCTTACTAAAGGACTAATGCAGAATATGGATATCTAAGCAATATGACGCTAAAAGAATCAGTGTTAATACAGAGATTATAACCATAGAATAGTTGTAATATTTTAACGCAAAACTATAAGTTGGAATAAAACAGATTTAAGCCTAACTGTATCCTTATGTTTAACATTCAATTCTTTAAATCTAGAAATTACATTTTTTACAATGTTCTTGTCTAACAGAATTTAATAAGTAACCTGGTGACATTCATGGAGTCCTGGATGGGAAACTCTAGACAAAGAAACACACACAAGAATGCCAATTTGGAATGATAAATGAAGAATACTTTTGATCTAGATATATGAGAGGTCCCTAGGCAAGAAATAATTAAATCTCTTTTTAAACACTTAAAATTTGGAACAAGTTGAAATAAGATATTAACCATGCATTGTGTCACACAGACTAAAAGTATAAAAGCCACATGTGCTATAAAAAAATTGGTTTTACCGCTAGTTCTTTTCTTAGCTTGAGTATAAGCAGGGCTTTTTTTCTCATGGAACGCCCTGAACGGAGTTCCGGCACCTTTTTTGGATGGAAGCTTGTAGGATAGGCAAGGCGGGTTGTATGACGTGTGTGAGTTCCGGCACCTTTTTTTTTTTTTTTTTTTTAGAAAACAAGCACTGAGTATAAGCATGTTGGAAAATTATATATAAAGTGTGATTTTCTTCAAACTGGAAGGTATAAAAACTGAGTAAAAGAATAGCTGGAGAAAAGATGTTGCAGAATAAAGTATATTAAGAAGTAAAATGTCAATTGCAATGAGCTAATGGGGAAAAAAACCATTCATATAAGAACTCATGCTAAGAAATTTAGAAAAAAATATCCCTGTATTCCTATATTGGCTGCTTATGAACATGGACTTTGTGCGTGTGTCCATGACAATTAAAAGCCCAGCTTTTCCATTTATTTAGCAGCTGATAATTTAAATACAGAAAGAGAAAGACAAGGAAAAAACTAATTTCAAACAGCTTATAGTATGTATGAAACCAATAAGTACCTTTCATAGACAGTTATGGTAATTAAATAGACATTCTTGATTAGTCACATTTCTATTCTTATGGAAAAACACTAAACCTGGACAGGTAACATTTATAAGCCTTCAAACATGATCATTTGCTGCAGGCTCTGTGACATAAAATACTGCAACATAAAATACGTATATATTAATGAGAGACTAAGATGCACAATAAAAATATTTAATTACTTGTTACTGCAAAATGTTTTCAAAAATCTGATCAAGGTAATATGCTAAATAACCATTACGAATACCCATCCCATAAGTAATATGAAATTAGAATTCAAGAATTTTGCTACAATATATGGAAAAAAATAGAATCAAACCTGCTGACCTCCAATGTTAATGAGGGGCATAAGAATCTTCAGTACGTTAGTTGCATATTTTTATAGTGAATTCCCAGTAAGGTTGCTGAATTAAATAGATATAATGGAACAAACCCTGAAACATTTCTTTTGTTTAGTTTTTGCTTTACTTATAACCCTTATCACTTAGAAATACTTTCTTCCTATATTTTAAAAACACTCATAGGTTATCCAAGAAAGCTCAAAGTCCTTTCCTTACTTTCTTTAGAGCAGTGGTTCTCAACCTGTGGGTCGGGACTCCATTTGAGGTCGAACGACCATTTCACGGGGGTCGCCAAAGAACGCAGTCCACCATTTTTCCCCCCTTTTCCTTAGCTGTGCTACTCCCTTTTATTCTATTGGCTTTTGAAAGCCAATAGAATAGACTCTCTTGAATAGAGTCTAATTCTACTGGCTTTCAAAAGCCAATAGGAATTTTCCAGGCTGTCTCTGCCCTGCTGAGCCTGCCAAAAGTCCCATTCTGCAAATGGTGCTGCACCAGTTGAGTAGTCCTCGACTTACGACCGGTTGAGTAGTCCTCAACTTACGACCAGTTGAGTAGTCCTCGACTTACGACCGGTTGGGGGTCGCGACATTAAAAAGGTTGAGAACCACTGTTTTAGAGAGAGGGTCAGGATATTGCACTGAATGCAAGTTAACATTCATGAAATGACTTGAAGCATTATTTTGGCTACAATATGGTAATTCAGTCTTTGGTATGTAAAACTAAACCTCAAATCCAGATACAGCATCGTCTAGGGCTACCAGCAGCCAATTTTTTTTGCTAATCCTATTACATAATAAAGGTATTGCAGAAATACAAGCCTTTACATAGTGCTGAAATTATTACCAAACATATTGTACAGTTTCATGCATAAACAATATTAGTATTTCCATAAAAAAATAAGTTGTTGGAATTACTCTTTATTGTACCAGCAATTTTTAATATTCCCCTATTGTCAAGCATTAATCTTTCTATAAACAAAATAACATTTCCTCTAAAATGTTAAGCAGAAATATGGATGTGAACCATAGAAAAAAGAAGCATTCACAATGATGAGGCAGACTTTCAATTATCACAAATGATAGAAAATATAAACTACATTTCTTGTTACATCATTTACATGATTTTTGTAGGCTTTCAAACATTAACTTGTGCAGACATGTTACACATCAACCTCAGAAGGCATCATGGTGTTGGAGCAGGAGTCACTTTCATACTGTTAAGTGCTGCATGGATTCTGAAATGTAGCCTGGATTCCATGGAATAGTCCTTGTAATTGTTTCTACAAAAGAACATTCAGTTACTTGGTCATTTGTCAGCCCCCACTACTCCAATAAAATCAAACAGAAAAAATTGTGGATGAGATTTTTCCAGTGGAAATATTTCACAGATAGTCCTCAACTTATGGCCACAACTGAGCCCAAAATTTATGTTGCTATGTGAGAAATTTCCTAAGTGAGTTTTGCCCCATTTTACAATTTGTCTTGCCACATTTGTTAAGTGAATCACTGCAGTTGTTAAATTAGTAACGCAGTTCTTAAGTGAACCTGGCTTTCTCACTGACTTTGTCAGAAGGTCACAAAGCATGACCCCAGGACACTGTAACTGCCATAAATACGAACCACTTGTCAAGCATCCGAATGTAAATCACATGATCATGGGGATGCTACAGTGGTCATAAGTGTGAAAAATGGTCATAAGTCACTTTTTCCAGTGCTGTTGTAAGCTTGAGCGGCCACTAAACAAACTGTTGTAAGTTGAGGATTATCTGTATCTTTTAAATTTTAAGCAGGCTGCTGGCTGGAGAATTCTGGGACTTGAAGTCCACCCATATTGTAGCCCAAATTGCCAAGCACTGTTCTAGACTATGCCTTGTCCTAATCCAGACACTCTCATTATCCAACATTTGCTATTAGTTCCTGCTCAAGTACAGATAAATCCCACCGGAATTTTTACTCTCAAACACCCAAGTTTCAATTTCCTGGTAATCAGATGGTCATTTTTTGATTAACAAGATCTTCTAGCGCCCCTGGGAAGAAAGGGGGTGTGGTAATCTATGTTAAACAGAATTTATCTGCTACCTTGTTAGAATCAGATCCTTACGGAAGATATGTTATGCTTGAACTTGGTTTATATGGCAAGAAAATTCTTATTGTGGGGTTGTATGCACCAAACCAGCAACAGGAGCAATTTTATAGGTTACTACATCAGAAAATAACTTTGTTGGACTATAGATCTGTGATTTTAATGGGAGACTGGAATGGTGTCTTAGATATACAAATGGACAAAAAAGGCTCTTCTACCTTTTTTAAACAGGCTAAATTACCTAAAGCCTTTTTTGATATGAAAGAAGATTGGGAATTGAGAGACTATTGGCGTGAACGTAATCAAGAAGAAAAGGATTTTACGTTTTTCTCAGATAGACACCAATCTTTCTCAAGAATTGATTTCTTTTTGATCACAACAGATTTATACAACAGGGTGAAGAATGTAAAAATTTTCCTAGGACATTGTCCGATCATAGTCCAGTTTGGATGGAACTGTTTGTAGAGAAGGAAGATAGGAGATCCTGGAGGGTGAATGAGAATTTATTTAAACAAGAAAAAAATGTTCATAAATTAAAGGAATGTTTAAAGGAATATTTTACTTTAAATATGAACAAGGGAACATCAATGTCAATGGTCTGGGATGCAAGTAAAGCTTTTATGCGTGGTATTTTGATAAAAATGAATAATTTGCATAGACAGAAACAGACTCAGAAACGGAAAGACTTGGAAGAGGAGATTAAATTAAAAGAGAAACTTTTAATTTCAAATCCCTTAGATGAAAAGGTTAAAGGAGCTTTAAAATTGTTAAAAACACAATTTAACATGCTGATGGCTGATCAAGCTGCAACTAATTTGCTATTTATGAAACAAAATACATTTTGTAATGCTAATAAACCAGGGAGATGGTTGGCTTATCAGTTAAGAAAAAAACAGAAACAGAGGAATATAGATAAAATAAATTATAATGGTAAATTGGTTTATCAGAAAGAATTGATTAAGAAATCTTTTTTAGAATACTATCAAAAATTATATAAGGGTACTAATATTCAAATTACAGATATAAATAATTATTTAGGCAAAGTTAACTTTCCTAAATTAACAGAAGATCAGGAAAAAAAGATTAATGGTTTAATTACTAAGGAAGAAATTGTTACAGCTATTAAACAATTGAAATTGGGCAAAGCGCCGGGTACGGATGGGTTGACATCTATTTATTATAAAGCTTTAGTAGAAGAGATGATTCAACCGTTGTGTGAACTGTTTAATAATTTATTACAGGGGTTAGAGATCCCTCCATCCTGGCGTAATGCATTTATATCATTGATTCCAAAAGATAGTCAAGATCTTACTTTGCCTAAAAATTATAGGCCTATATCTCTTTTAAATGTGGATTATAAAATTTTTGCAAAAATTTTAGCTAACAGGCTTATGGGGATCTTGCAGCAGTTTATACATAGGGATCAATCGGGTTTTATAACTGGAAGGTATATGAAGAATAACGTTAGACAAATTATTAATTTATTAGAGTATTTAGAAAAGAATAACCAAGTCTCTGCAGGCCTGATATTTTTGGATGCTGAAAAAGCCTTTGATCAAGTGAATTGGCAGTTTATGCTGTGTTTAATTAAGGAGATGAATTTTGGACAAAATATATTACAAGTATTATCCAATATATATCAAAAACAGACTGCTCAAATTATTGTAAATGGGGGTTTGTCAGAGGCTTTTGTAATAGAAAAAGGAACAAGACAGGGATGCCCGTTGTCTCCGTTATTGTTTGTTTTAACACTGGAAATTTTGTTGATTAAAATTCGGGAGTCTCAAGAAATAAAAGGAATAGAAATTAATAAAAAAGAATATAAATTAAGAGCCTTTGCAGATGACTTGGTTGTTACTTTGTCTCAACCTGTTTCTTCGGTGGTGAAATTATTACAATTGATTCAACAATATGGACGTGTTTCTGGCTTTAAAATTAATAATAATAAGACCAAAATATTAGCTAAAAATATGACTAATGGTGATAAACAGGCTTTAGTTAACTTAACAGACTTTGAAATCGTTGATAAGGTAAAATATTTGGGGGTTACATTATCTGCTTCTAATGTAAAATTGTATAAAAATAATTATGAAAAGCTGTGGATGGAGGTACAGAAGGATTTAAAAAACTGGAATAATTTACAGTTATCCCTTATGGGCAGAATTGCAGTTATTAAAATGAATGTCCTGCCAAAGTTTATTTTTTTGTTTCAAATGTTACCTATTTTAAAGAACGAACGTAATTTAGATGAATGGCAAAAAGGTATTAATAAATTTGTTTGGGCAGGGAAAAAACCAAGGGTGAAACTTAAAATAATGCAAGATTTTCGTGAGAGAGGTGGACTCAAGGTACCAAATATGAAATTGTATTATGATGCTGTAGTATTGACATTGATTAGCGACTGGGTGAATTTAACAAATACAGAAATACTTCATTTGGAAGGCTGGGACCTACTTTTTTGGATGGCATGCCTATTTAATATTTAATAAAAAAGTGGATTGGGTTTTTAAGTCTCATATTATAAGAAACTCTTTGCTAAGAGTGTGGAGAAAGTATTATAAAAGTGACTTCAAAATACCATTATGGGCTATACCTCGGCATGCCATAGAAGGTATAAGGAAAGGGGTAAATATGGACAAGGTCTCTTACGTACAGTTACTAAGATGGGATGGCCAAGACTGGCAGTTAAAATCTTTGGAAGAATTAACACATGAAAATTTAACTTATTCATGGTTCCAATATAGACAAATAGTGGATAGATGGAAGATGGATTGTAAAACGGGCTGGCTTAGAGAAGATGAAATTTTTTTAAAACAAGTAAGAGATCAAAGGCCAACCCATATTAAGAGAGTTTATGGGGTTTTAGTGGAATTAGATTCAGAACTTGAACTAGTTAAAGATTGTATGATTAAATGGGCACAGAATATTGGTGAAACGATTTCAATGGATACTTGGGAACTTATTTGGATAAGAAATGTTAAATTCACACAAGCGCAAAATTTAAGAGAGAATTTTTATAAGATGTTTTATAGATGGCACCTTGACCCAAAGAAAATGTCCATTATGTACCCTAATCTACAGCCGAAATGCTGGAGATGTGGATATTTGGATGCTACCTATTACCATATTTGGTGGACGTGTAAGCATATAAAAGCTTTTTGGATTAAGATATGGTGGAATATTCAAAGAATTTTTAAAAGGAGGGTAAAATTTACTCCGCAATTATTTTTACTAGGTATTGTTATTGACTGTGATGCTAAGGAGGTTATATTGATGTTAAATTTGATTACAGCCGCTAGGTTGTTAATAGGACAATATTGGAAGAAGGAATCTTTGCCTACTTTACAAGAATGGTTTCATAAAGTTTCGTATTTGGCAGAAATGGCAAAGATTTCGGCTTTCTTAAAGGAGCAATCTCAAGAAAAATTTTTTGCGGTATGGGAAAAATGGATAAATTTTATACAACATAATTTGGATATGGAAAAATATTATTTAGCCTTTTTATAATTTGTAATGATTGTTTTTTCTTTCTTTCTTTCTTCTTTTTCTTTTTTATATATATACATTTTTTACGTATTATTATTCATATATTTTTTTTTTTTATATATATATGCTTTATTCTTTGTCTACTTTCTTCTTTTTTCTTTCTCTCTCTCTCTTCTTTTCTTATTTCTTTTTTTTCTTTTTTAGTATATATTATTCATTTTAAAGTTTATGTTATGTATATTATTATTATATATATTATTACTGTGATTTTTATTATTATTATTAATTATTTTATAAATTGCAAATGTTATTTTTAAAATATTTGTTAAATAATCCTATATTCAGTTTTGGGAAGTCGGGGGTGGGGTGGGGTGGTTGGGGAGGGGGGGGTGGATTCTTATTTGTAAAACTTTTGAAAAATTTCAATAAAAAAAAAAAAAAAAAAAAGATCTTCTAGAAGAAACCTTTCAAATTTATGTCAATTCTCCCATTTTCAGTTCAGAGAGTGTGTTCTTCAATTGTTTTCCCCAACCCACTGCTTTTGTACTTTTGGCATTTGTGCAACAAATTAAACTTTCTCTCTAATGTGGAAATAGCTAAATCATTTGGAAATACAGTTTGATCTCTTGTGTCAAGAAGGGAGTAGACAAATGTTTCCTGTTCATGTTTTTCAATCAGCAAGAGATTTTGAATTAATTATGCTAATTAAGTAAGCTGAAATCAATATATTTTGTGTATTTATTGATTATAGTTGTATAAAATTATTACTACTTACTTTGCAGCTTCTATACATCTTATAGCTTTTCCTCTTTCATCCTGTTGTTTATATAGAAGACCCAACTCGTACATTGAATATGGAGCTAAGTAGGTATCGTACTTTAATTGCTTCTCACTAAAATGCAAATGGACATTATATCACTATTAAGGGCAACTAAAAAGGTTTGTTGAAACTCTTTTTCTTTGAATATATCTATATAAAAAATTACCAGTTAAAATTAGCTACCATGCCTTCCTTAAACCCTATTTATGTACTATGGTAGGATAGTTTTACATTCCAATAGAAGGCAACAACATAAACAGGTGAAAAGAGGGATCTCTGCATCTGCAGAAGTTTCATGATCCATTTGGCTGGTGTCTATCCAGGGAAAATTGTCAATTGCTCAACTGGACAGAAAATGTCAGCTATATTCTAATGGTTTTAACTAAAGTATTCAAATGAATTTTCTCTGTGTTGCTGAATATTATTGTATTTTAAAATTCTGTTCCCAATTTTTACCTTTGAATAACTTGGCTGAAACAGAGCTCTGCTTGCAAGAGTCTTCCTAAATGCTTCAAACACATTCCTTTTAGTAGTTGTAACAAGCATACATCATCCATGTAATATTCATTGTGATCTGAAAATGAAACATAAGTGAGTTTCAAATTACAGCCATTATAATGAGGGTTGTGAATACAATCAATTGTCGAATACCATCATGAATTAACTATTTTTTCATATTTAATTTTTTTAAATCTAATATTTAATAACTTTTATATAAAGTAACAAAATTAATAAAAATGTTGTTTGGTAATATTCTATTTGAGTATAAAGCAGAATATCTATAAAGTATATCTTTTTACTGGAAATAACTGTTTCAAAATAAAGCAAGTCATCTACCATTCTCCCACTTCCTTTCATTAATTCATATTCAATTATTGATCAAAATGATAGCTCTGGAAACAGGCACAGTATTAAATATGTGAGAAATCATGAAAATAGGTCTATTAATTGCTATGTTTAAAAAATGAATTTAATATTTGAAATACTATTTTGCATTTATTTATACAGCCTTGAGATATATGACACTTTAGTTGATACAGGGTCTCCCTGAATAATATTTTTATTGCATTTGCTACCTGTAATAAAAAGTTACAAAGCAAAATGCATCAACAGTTTTGCTTTGAAAACCATACACCTGTTGTACTCACAATCTTTTTTATTATTATTTACAACAATAATAAAGTTGCTGCATTATTTAGAATTTTAAAATCCATACCACCCAGGATCAACCAACATCTATTGTTACAACAAACCTTTCTCTTGTTTCATATATTGTAAACTAAATTAAGACTATATAATCTATGAAAGAATGAAAAGTATGGTTAACAAGAGGCTTTTTTCCCTAGAATATGGAAAACTCCACTTATTAATATTTCTAAATAAAATTTTGTGTACATGTGTGTGTATAAAAATATGGCCCTTGTTAATGTTATAAAGCACAAGCAATGTGTAAAAGTAGGATTTATCAGTGTGAGTTTCTATGGATTCATCAGAATTGAGAGTACATGAAAAGAACAGGCTTCTATTATGGCACTCAGTATAGGTTCATTGAATTCAAAGGTCTGCAAATGTGTCTTTTCTTCATAGAATATTTAAATATTCTAACTCAGTTACATTTGTTTTGTAATTTATATCTTATAAATCAAAGTAAAACTCACGAGTTTCATTTTTTAAAAGGGTTTCTTCTTTTTCAATAGTTACTAACATGTTTTCAGTGAAGTCAGTTCTCTTTCCAAGAATTGAAAACCCACTCCAGACATACATCATTTCCTGAGAAAAAGAAGCCATTGAATGAAAAGTACTTATTTACAATAAGTTATCTATTTATTCTGAATAAAGCTAGATGTTGTTTAGCATTTAGCATTAACATTTCTTTCAGTGTAAATTAACTGTAGAACTTTAAAATGTAACAAATTTATTATTTGAATCTAGCTGAAAAGCAAGTACTAATATAAAGGAAGCAGCTATTAAGATGATATACTTCATGAAAAATTGCAAATTAAAAATTAATACTTTTTCAGTAAAAGTGCCAGATTTTAATTTTTGTATTTGCCCTCTTCCGGTTTGGTAATTGAAATAAAAATGTAAGTATACAAATACTCATATAATTTACCTGCAGCATGAATCTATATTTATGAAATATTAAATGATAAAATATTTTATAAATATGATCTCATTGATTATAATTGTAGCAGCCTGTAAATTGTAGATGATTCCTTTAATATTTATTATATAACTTGGTTCATAACAAAGACTGAAATTGGATAGATCCTGTATCTATGTATCTCCAAAGTTTTATGGAATGATCTTGGCAGACATATTACATTATTAATTAGAAAATATATTCTGCACAATTTGCTAATAATTTATGTTCAGCATCTAGCCTCTCAAGAGTTGGAAATATTATAACTCACATGGCAAACTTCAGTACATTGGTATATAGGTTCCAGTAAGATTACATATTTCTAAATTTATCTTAGCAATATTTAGGGAATGTCAATAGATAGGTTTCTTCTGTGCTTTTATCTAATAAATAAATTAGGGCTTCCATGTTAAAGCCAAATGGGAATCTAATTTTCCTTGGTTATGTACAAGAATACATACACACACATATTTTACTCTGTCACTCAAAAGATGATTGAAGTAAGTCTGCTGTAAATACCAGAGCAGGCACTATTAGTTTCACAGGAGGAGAGGTCCCATAGCGTCGTGATTTTCTCACAGCAAACTTTTCAGTTGGGAGAGATTTTCCTGCAATTCTTTGCTTTAGGCCTTCTACTTGCCTGTAAGAGGAAAAACAGTACTTTCTTTAGACATGAAAAGCTCATATTGTTGATTTTTGAGCCTTTTTGCTTTACCAATTCTATTTCAGCAATCCCAAACCTATAACAAGTTCTACTGTATAATAAAGCCTAGATGGGTATTTTAGTTTTAATGTATAATATTGGTAATGCCTGCTGTGTATTTTTAGAAATAAAAATGGAAGCGAATCATAGAAAATTATAGCAAATTAAAATTATAAAAGTACAACAAACATAACAACATAGATCAAATGAAACTTTGGATGAACAAATGAGTCTTTAAATGGTTCAGAAAAATCTAAAGCAGAGTTTCTCAATCTTGGCTATTCTAAGACATCAACTCCCAGAATTCCCCAGCCAGCATATTCTGAAAAAATTCTTGAGAGTTGGAAAATTCTGGGAGTTGAAGTCCATACATCTTTAAATTGCCAACGTTAAGCATGGGTGTCAAATTTGATCGTGTCACATGACTTATTGTGACGTATTGCAATGTTTTTTGCCTTTGTAGAGCCGGGGTGGATGTGGCCTGCACATGACATATCCAGCCTGCAAGCTGCCAGTTTGACACCCCTGCTTTAAAGGATCAATGCCAACCCTAGCAGAATTCCATAATCATGGTATCACCAGCTAGGAGGACCTCACTATGGAATATTTAGCTATATATACAGGTACAGAAAATGAAAATGCTAAACATTAAAGGGAACTTCATCTCAAAAATCTGCAAGAAAGCAATGAAAGAGACAGGAGACCAAGAACAAAAGAGAATATCACGGGAAAGGAGAAAGGATCAAAAAATGAATCTAATCTGATGTTTAGATGAAGGCTGTCCAACAGTGAGCTGAAATCGTTCATGTAAATTCCAGTAATAAAGCAGGTTTGTGAACAGCGCTTAGCTTATTGTCTTGTAGACAAAAAGCTTTCCAAGCATGCTTTACAAAATGCTTCCATGCTAGCAACTCTAAAAATTTATTTCTAAAGTTACAATGTAAAAAATGTAAAATCCTTTTTCAGACTCTTTCTGTATATTTGGAAAATAAAATGATATCAAGATTATTATTAAAGCATACCTACTAATAAACCATATATTATACAAGGAAAGAACAGAAGAGATGTCTCATGCCTATCTATTTTCAAATGTGGTAAATCCCATTGAATTACATGCAACTGTATCCCCAGTATAATTTGTAAGGGCCAAAGTATGGAATTTGATCGCTGATATAAAAAATCATGCAAGGAAGTCCAAGTATTTGACTATAATGAAGCTAATCTGCCAAGTCTTAAAAGTTAAGTTGGGAATTTTCTAGCAGAACGGAGCAAAAATCTGATTTCAGTAACAGATATGTGCATTCTTTAGGTGCACTATGGATTCCCCAAATGTGTGTTCATGCCAGATCAGAAGCAGTTTTCTCCCTTTGGGTGTGAAAAGTATGAACTAATTATCCCTATATAATGAAGACAAGCTACTGGTTGGAAGAGGAGTGGTTAGAACACTTTTTAACTAAGTGTAATATAGACTTATGTCTAGAACAGGGGTGTCAAACTCAATTTCATTGAGGGCCACATCAGCATTGTGGTTGCCCTTGGGGGGGCGGGGGTGTGGCCAGGGTGCAGCCTACTGGATAGGCATGGATGGAGTGGGTGTGGCCTACTGGGTGGGCATGACCAGCTCTACATCGTTCGCGTCAAGGGTGCCTGTGCGGGCCTGGGCAGGAGTGGATAGATCTGAGGGTCTCTGGCAGAAGGTGGTGGGACCGGGGCAAGCGCCAAGGCATGGTGCATTTCTTCATTCCTCACAAAGGGTGACACCTCTCCAGCATGCACTCAGGGGGCGGGGGAGACGTGGCAGGGGCTGGTTCCTTGCTGTTTCTAGATGGCCTTGTGGAGCCAAGACTGAATGCGTTTCAGTATAGATGGCCACCACAAAATTGTACATTGGCTCCTGGCCAGCCTGGGCCAGTGCCAAGGCAGCAGGGGCCGTTCCCTCACTGTTTCCAGGATGGCTTCGCAGGCCACATGAAACTACTTTGCGGGCTGCATCTGGCCCCCGGGCCTTGTGTTTGACATGTCTGTCTAGAATTTATTTTATATGCCATCTCTCACTCTAGAACATAAATTCACATGGCAGAAGAAACTCTATAGCAAACCCATAGGGAAGGATTTCCCCCCACCCCTCACAAACCAGAAAGTTATAAATGCAAACATTTTTCTCAGATGAGCAGGTTTGAGGCAATGATAATTAGAAAAAAACATGGCATTTTCAAGATATATAGCTTTGAAGATCAAGCTTTAAATAAATTCCTTTCTTTTGAAAAGTATTACCGAAACAAAGCTACAATATCTTCTCCTGTTGTTTTCACATCAGCATCAGGAAGCATGCACAAAATAGCAGCTTTCTGGAACACATATATTGCCTAGACAAAATAGAATAAAAATATTCAATCTCTTTATATACATATATAGTTTCTTACAACATGCCTGATTTATTACAGTCATTTCCTTGTACATACGTGTAATTACAGACCTATTAAACCAAATTATTGTTTCGTTAAAATTACCATCAAGGTTTTGCCTTATGCCAGGCACAGGTATCTGTGATAAGCAAAAGGGGAGACAATAGATGACAGATTAACGACACCACTAGCATCTCTAATTATGTACTTGTGTCAGACATCAGTACACAGTTGTGTTATTTGTATTTCATTATAATTTTGACATAATTTTGACATAATTTTGACTTTTTAGAAATGCCCATGCTTAAGATGCTCTGTTTTGCAATCTGAATGAAGACATAGGAAAAGCAAGGGGCCATCTTATTGGGAAAAAAAATCATAAATGTGGAATTTGTTGCATAGTGGTTTAGCAAAGCAATTTTTTTCTCAGTGGTTGTTACTGTAATTTCCACTTTGTCAATTTCCCAGTTGCTAAAAATTAGTTACAATTAACCATTTTGTTTAAACCAATGTCAAGCTGAATGGCATTTGATTATTTACTACAGGATGGCTTGTATTATGGCATACTGTGTAAGCATGAAGTGTTCTTACCACTTCACAACAGGTTACCCATATAATAATAATAATAATAATAGTAGTAATAATAATAATAATAATAATAATAATAATAATAATAATAATAATAATAATAATGCCTGTAAGCAAAAACTGGTGGGATCATAAAATAGAGAAAGTCATAGAAAATGATAAAATTAAACTGCTCTGGGACTTCAGAATTCAAACAGACAAGCACCTGCAACATAACACCCCAGACTTAACAATTGTCGATAAGAAAGACAAAAAAGTCTGGATAGTGGACGTGGCAGTGCCTGGAGATAGCAGAATAGAAGAGAAAGAACTGGAGAAGATAACAAAATACAAAGACCTACAAATAGAAATAGAAAGACTGTGGCAAAAGCAAGCAAGGGTAGTACCAATAGTCATAGGCTCCTTGGGTGCAATCCCAAAACAACTGGAGCACCACTTGAACACCATTGGCATTGACAAATTTGCTATTAGTCAATTGCAAAAGGCGGCCTTATTAGGAACTGCTTCCATCCTGCGACGATACCTGTAATATCATCAAACATCCACATCTGCCTATCCCAGGTCCTGGGTAAGGACTCGATAGGTAGACAAAATGCCAAATCCAGGCTGAACATCTGGCTGACTGTGCGATGAATGATAATAATAATAATAATAATGTTGGAAGGGACCTTGGAGGTCATCGAGTCCAACCCCTGCTCAGGCAGGAAACCCTATACCATTTCGGACAAATGGCTGTCCAGTCTCTTCTTAAAAACTTCCAGTGTTGGAACATTCACAGCTTCTGGAAGCAGGTTGTTCCATTGGTTAATTGTTCTAACTGTCAGGAAGTTTCTCCTTAGTTCTAGGTTGCTTCTCTCCTTGATCAGTTTTCATCCGTTGCTTCTTGTCCTGCCTTCAGGCGCCTTGGAGAATAGCTTGACTCCCTCTTCTTTGTGGCAACCCCTGAGATATTGGAACACTGCTATCATGTCCCCCCTCGTCCTTCTCTTCATTAAACTAGACATACCCAGTTCCAGCAACCGTTCCTTATAATTTTAGCCTCCAGTCCCCTAATCATCTTTGTTTACCTTTGACCACCTGCTTTCTTTGCAAAGCAGATCTGCATACCGATATGCTTGAAGCCAATTCTGCTGGAAGGAGTAAGACCACATCAGTTCCCAGTAGCAGAGATGCTGCAGCTGTTTCCACTCTTGCTGAGCTGCAATGCTGTCCTGGAATGTTACCTCAGCCTGGAATTTAAAGGGAGAGAAAGATCAAACCACAGAAAGAAAACTTCTCAAATCATGTCCTTCTATTTTCTTTTGATATAAAAGATAGATAAAAAGAATATAATGAACTTTATGGTACATAATTTCAAAATATTCAAGCACACAATTACAGTTTAGTGTTATGTGTGGATAGATGGAATGGATATTAATTAATTGACGATTAAATAAGTCTGTATGCAAGTTTTAAGACGGGCTTTACAACAATGGTCAGATTTAGCAAGCAAGGAATTGGTATATTTGATTCTTACCTAAGTTAAACTTTTATGAGGGTTTGCCATCTCACATGAAAAACTGAAAATATGAGGACTTGCTTCTTATAAAAGTAAATCTTAACATTGCTATTGATACTGATATTCCCTAACTTGGTGGAGTAACAACTAGGGGTTTTGGTTTTTTTTTTTTGGCTCATTCCATTCTGAAATGTTATTACTGAAATTGATCTTTATGAGCATTTTATCAAACAGTGTTCAAGTTTTCTTTTTCTCTTCCCATTTTTTCTCTTGATTTTTTTTTTTAAGCATGGGAGCAAATTTTTCTTATAACTAACACAGAACCTCAATCTTTATTTTAAAGGGGGGCAATCTGCCGTTACCTTTTCAAAATTTCCTTTTAGTATGTTGATTCTGGCATCGTAAAACAGAACGAGGGCACCCTTGAAAAAGATTGCAGCTTTGTTAGTGAGGTAGAAATGTTAACCATAGTTTAAAAAATACTTAACAATGTGAAATAATAAAACCTTTGGGAACTTCTGAAGGAAAGGTTGAAGAAGAGTCTCTGCTTCAACGAGGTTGGTTTCCCCTGTTCCTATAGAAATATCAACATCCTCTCTCAGTATTGATGGCTATATTATAGGTTCATACAAGTTAATTCATGTATAGTATTATTAGAACACAATACGTAATATATAGTATTATTAGAAAACAATATTAGAAGAAAGCTTACTATAATGAAATGTAATAAAAGTTGTCATAGTACAGGCAGTCCTCGACTTGTAACAGTTCTTTTAGTGACCATTCAAATTTATAACAGCACCGAAAAACGTGACTTATGGCCATTTTTCATACTTATGATGGTTGCAGCATCCCCAGGGTCACATGATCAAACTTTGGATACCTGGCAACTAGCATGTATTATGATGGTTGCAGTGTCCCGGGATCATGTGATCAGTTTTTGCAATCTTCTGACAAGCAAAGACAACGGGGAAGCCAGACTCACTTAACAAGTCAACTAACCACTACTAACTGAACAATTGCAATGATTCACTTAACAATGGTGTCAGAAAAGGCTGTAAAATGGGGCAAAACTCACTTAACAAGCGTCTTACTTAGCAATGGAAACTTTGGGCTCAGTTGTGGTTGTGAGCCGAGGACAACTTGTATAGTAAAATATTACAGTACAGGAAGACATTCATCTTGAAGCAGAACACTGAAAGATACTATGTTGAAATCAAACATTAGTGGTTTTTTTTTTAAAAAAAGCCAACCTCCAGATTTAATGCTTAAATATGATTTATTTTTTTTCCTCTTGCTTTTTTAATGAAATAAACTATTAGAGCCACAGTTAAAATGAAAGACGAAATAGGAATAAAGCCAAAAGGAAATTAAAATGTTTCATTCTCTCAGAGCACAGGTATTATTTTTCTATCAAGAATCAACATTTATGTAGAAAGAGGATCAATTAGAAAAACTGTTGTGAATATAGTTAATAAAGGAAGTTCAGGGCTAATTTAATTTGTATTCTCTGAATATTATTTGAATTCCTAATAATATAAATGTTTTGAATTGAAAGGCATCAAAATGATTCAAATTGGCATGCCTAATTCCAAACCCCATCATGCTATTGTTTATAAAAAAAATTCTACTTTTTAATTATAAATAAATAAACATTTCTTTGCTTTGTCATTCTTACTTTATTTCCTTCCAAAGATCTGCTACAGATAGGCTTCTATCAAATGAAGTTAAAATAGCAAAAAAACATGAGAGCAGGAACTTTTCATCCTATGTAGAACAATTTGTTCCCTTTTTTTTTTTTAAATCAAGATTATAGTTAATTGGGTCAGCCCAACTGCCACTAACGTTAACTCATTTATTAACTTAAATTCATTCCATACTGTAAACATAGCCACTGGTGTTGCTGAAAATACAAACAAATAAAACAAATACATATTAAGAACTATATTAGAATTTGTGATATGCTAAATTATTTTTCAACTGGGTATTCATTTTTAATTCTTACCAAGGATTAATGAAACAAAGCAGTGATATAGCAACAAGATAAAAGTAGATACTACTGCTCGTAAAGTGGGACCAGAAGCTCCTTCCCGTAACTGATGAAGACCAAGTTCCTGTCAACAGCCACAAAATTGTACAAAGTTAAATCACAATAGTCTGCCATTTTTACGAACGCCAATTATTTCAAGAAAAGATACAAAAAAGGAACTTGACACAGTTGGTAGGATTCTAACTGTCAGTATCATTTGCAAGTGAAGTGATGTACGTCCTATGGATTATTCAATGTACTGAATATTATTTGATTCATGACCCTGTTTTATTTAGGTGGTGGATCATGTAAAGATTTGTACTCATGCTGAAGCGTGAGTACAAATCTCTCTGTGAGCCACAACCTAAAAAAAGAGGGTCGTGGATCAAAATGCAATTATTTTTGTGTTCAAGTGAATGCACATAAAGGCCCCTCTCAAGCCTTCACACCTCACTCCCAAGAGAGAGGTGGGGTCAGTATGGACTACACTGTTGTTTTCCCTCCACTTTCAGGCACAGGGCTATACAGTAAAGAGGAGACAGAGAGGAAATATATACATTGTTCACTGGAGAAAGGAGAGAAAGTAAACAAAGAAAGTAGTCAAAGGGTAAGCTCTGTTAATAGAATAGTTTTGTTAACGGCAAGTGACAGCAATTATATTCCATTATTTGTAAAAATCTGCTTTATTAAAAGCCATAGTAAGAAAAATATTGAAGATTTTAAAACTAAAGATTTAAATACTTTGTGTCAAGTTTTACATCTGCATATCATATCCCTATAGTCAGATAGTCAATGAGGTCTGAAGATGATCCAGATGCATCAATTATTTAATCTTATCCTGAGTAGCAGAGCTTGTAAGGTGTTTTAAAAATTCATATAACAATAGAAATTCAATTTAATACCCTATTGCCTGAAAACCCAATAAATTCAAGAAGTCGGAGAATTCTTCCTGGTAAAAGGGACAGCATCTGCAAAAAAGGGAAAACAAAGATTCCATCAGTTTTTAATGCAAAAGGATAAACAAAAATATTTAAAAGTTATCGCTTTATAGCTTTAAAAATGTTCAGTACAACCTTCAGATAACATTAGTAAAGTCCAAATGACTTGATATTATATTTTTTACATTCAGCATTTCTTTTTTTTAAGTATATGTAGCAAATTATATGATTTAATGGTTTAATAGTGTAGATTTTGTTTAAACTTTTCTGCACAGAATCATGGTGAGAGGAACAACTACATAAATCTAAAACAATTAAAGCACACAAAAAAAAAACCCTCAGGAAATTCTGCATTCAAGTAAAACAATAAAATCACAAATCATAAGATGTATATGTACAGATATTTTTAAAATTGTACAGGATATAATGAAAGCACAATAAGGTTTTGAAAGGTACAATATAATTTTAAATAGCTCATGCATCAAAAGTTAGATTACACATTGGAAGGAATGCTCATACCAGATTGAAAGCTCCTATTCCTAATTGTACACCCCCTTCAAACTGGTGGAATATTTCATTCCTGATTTTGCTGCTTTGGGCCATCTGCAGAACCTGAAGGCATTCCCTTTTGATTAACAAAACAAATCATGCTAAATTAGATAACAGCAATGATAATATGAACAACTATTATTTCAGAGATTTAATTTACCATACTATACCCTACTATCATGGGTGTCACTTGACTGGGCTGCACTGACTGAAGATGAATTGTTTTGGGCTGCATAATCTCATATTAGCTACAATCCCTAGCTAATTTAAATGGGTAGATGATATGAGGAAAAATGGCAGTCAGGAGCTTATAATTTCTCATACTGTTTTGTAGACTCATTCATATCCATAGCACACCTGTATAATTTCCCCCATATCTAACCCAAGATCCTACTTCTTTATATAGAAACAAAACATTGTGTGTCTTCTATAATAACTTTTGTTATTTATAACAACATGTATGTGTGTGGGGGGGGGCCTTGGTGGTTAAATCACTGCCTAGTATGTAAACTGCCCAGGTTCGAATCCCATAAAGGGTGTGGCTAACTGATGAGAGCAGAATGAGCTCGAAATGGCCATATTAGTCTCCCAACTTAATTCTTTAACTCTTTGTCAAGAAAAAAGAAATCTGGATTTGTAAAATATTTCGCAGTAGCGACTTGAGCCTGCTTAATGCCCCTAGTTGGGGGGCTGCAAGGCAAAAGAGATTGTAAAAAGTAGAACTGCAGTATAGCAGTTAAAATGCCAAGGTGTAATCAATCAGAAAAACTTTCTGTATATACTCCCTTGACTCAGCTGACAAAGAGGGGAGGAGAGCCTGTGGCTTGGTGGTTAAATCACTGCCTAGTATGTAAACTGCCCAGGTTCGAATCCCATAAATGGTGTGGCTAACTGATGAGAGCAGAATGAGCTCAAAATGGCCATATTAGTCTCCCAACTTAATTCTTTAACTCTTTGTCAAGAAAAAAGAAATCTGGATTTCGCAGCTAGACCCCTTCCCGGGCGAGCGTGGGAAGCCTGCTCTGGACAGGAGTAATGATCATCGACAGATAGAACAACGGAAGATGGCTAATGCAGAGACCGTTAGGGTGGGGGATGGGAGCATAAGTGCCAAAGTGCGTAGCACTCGGACAAGTACTACTGTATGGGCAAGGAAGAGAGAAGGGGAAACACAGAACAGGGAGAAAACATCGATCCACAATCAAAGGGGGTGGGAAAAAGTACCTGGAGCCCCAGTGGGATGGATGACAGTACTAAGAGAAAATCAGATGCCCCTGAGACCCGCAATAGAAGGAAAGATGAAATGAGAGTAAATATTATCAGAAGGGAGGATGATATAAGGGTGTTGACAAACCTAAGTATTGACAATAAAAGAGCAGGTAAGAAGATCTGAAAGAATGACAGAAGAGAATGCAATACAAAGGAAACATCTGGAATACAAATTGACCGGCTAGGGCCGGTGATGCGGTCTAGGAGCCGAGTGCAAATGTTAGCTAAACCTATTTAAGTCACCTTTGTTAACTGGCTCTTTAACCCTGACGATGTTGGAAGTTCCCAACAAAAGCTTGGTTTTAGTAAAGTATTTCCTTACTTGGATCCTCCTGGTGGTCGTATATTATTTATTTTTCATTATAATTATGCCCAGGAGTCGTATTTTTACGGATATTATCATATAACGCAGTCCACCTTTTTTTTCTCTCCTTTTCCTTAGCTGTGCTACTCCCTTTTATTCTATTGGCTTTTGAAAGCCAATAGAATAGACTCTCTTGAATAGAGTCTAATTCTATTGGCTTTCAAAAGCCAATAGGAATTGTCAAGGCTGTCTCTGCCCTGCTGAGCCTGCCAAAAGTCCCATTCTGCAAACAGTGCTGCAAGTTGTCTGCAGCGAAGGCGAGCTGTCTGGAAGTTTCCACCCCTCCCTGCTGAGCAACTACTAAAAATGTAAGTAAAAGAGGGCCAGGGGTGGGAGGTGGGAGGCCGGCGGGCGCAGGGAGGGTTGCTGGCATGCGTGGGGCCCGGCCGGTGCCTTACCCCCCTTGGGCTGAGCCAGCTGGTGGTCGCCCTGCGCCGTCGCTGCCCCTTGCCAGCTACACCTCGGCTGGCGCAGGGGGCGGCACCACGCATGCACAGCGCTCCCGGGCAGGGAAAGTCCTCAATTTACGACTGGTTGGGTAGTCCTCGACTTACGACCGGTTGGGGGTGCAGCATTAAAAAGGTTGAGAACCACTGTTCTAGGAGCAATTCTAGGAGCTTCTAGTTAGCAATCCTAGATTGCTAACAAAGAATAAAGGGAGAACTGAAATAGCTAGTTCGAGATTCTTAACTCTCTTCAGCCAGACATACCCTTCTGAAATTCGAACCTGGGCTGTGTACATATTAGGCAGCTGTATTAACCTCTAGGCCACAGGCTGTTTCTCACTTTGTCAGCTGTATCAGGGAGGAATATATGTTGTATATTATATGTTGTATATAATAACTTTTGTACTTTAAATGGCAGAACCACAATTGGAAGTAACCTTAGCTATCTTGTGGCCCTGCTTAGTATATGATTTAACCATAACCAGGGCTTTTTTTTGTCATAGAACGCCCAGAACGGAGTTACGGCACTTTTTTGGGATGGAACCTTGTAGGGTAGGCAAGGCGGGCTGTATGACGTGTATGATTTCCAGCACTTTTTTTTTTTTTTTTACAAAAAAAGCACTGGTCATAACCTTTGCAATTAGCAGTAAGGATGTCACTGAGCCAAGCTTAATCCCTGCAGTTTTCTTGATAAAGTTATGGAAATGATTTGCCAATAGAAAGTAATTCACAAGCAATTACCATTGGCATCAGAACAAGAGAGAACAATACAAATATATATAGATTTATCATTATTATTTATGTTTTGTTCTGCCTTATCTTTGTAAATTTATAGTCATATTCTATTCTTGTTTTCATTCTTCCATCTGGCATGATTTTTAAAGGACAGGAGAGTAAATAAGGGCAGGACTAAAATCACTGCCAAACTGATATAATTTTTTTAATCCAGCAATTTTTTTCCCCACTATTTCAAGCTATGATGGGGAATTAATTTACTGAAACATAAAACATGAATAGACATAATACACAGCCTAAGTGAAGTATTATAGAAACGTACTTATATATTTGATAACTTGTTCTGATTTTCAAGCCACCTTTGATGAAACTGATCATATTTTCATCCTGGAATATTTTTAAAAATATTTTTTAAATTAAATAATGAATAAAATAGTACAGTTGTATACACATCATACCCATTTATGGATTTTTAAAATGAATAAATATATCTACAAAATGTATACTTTGAAAATAGCTTTAAAAATTAAATGTTCATATACGCACACACCCTAAATATATATAGAAGAATGTGAAAGTTATTCTTAACCAAGGGAATTCATTAAAGAAATCCCTGAGAAACAAAAACATTATGGAACAAATTGAAAGAACATATAATAACACTAGATAGTGCTAAAAGTAAATGATAATAGAAATAACAACAGGAACTGTAATATTAGTTACAATAATAACATAATGGACAACAAAGCTTGGTGTTTCCAGAATCTTTTGATTATGATTCATAATTAGTAATAACTATTTAATAGTTTACATCAAATATGCTCATCTTGAAAATATAGGAAATACATCAAGCTTCAATGAAGTACAGTCCTACTTATTTATAATAGACTGTACTGTTGATTTTAAGATATTCCTAAATATGAATTTGATAAACAGAAATATTTAATGATAGAGATTCTGACTCTGAACACATACTTTAGTTCCATCAGTACAAGGACTATACAAAAGCTTCAATAGAATATAATCGTAAAGTTATTTTACTATTTACTGAGTTCTTTGACAGTTTACAAGGATGATCCTGTATATATATTTACTGAAGATAAAGAGAGAGGGCTTAATTGTAGAGATTTGGCTTCTGGGCATGTTTCTCACTCCTAACAAATAAATATTATTTGAATAACTATCAAGTTGCCAGATTCAGCAAGCCCCAACCAGCCTGTTTAGCAAGCTGTGATATTTTGGCACATAACAGGCAAAGAAGATCTTGTCCTAGCTTTATTGCTTGATTGTATCTTCCTTATTGCAGTTCTTTATCAGAGCCATATCTAATCTGATAAAGAGTGCCCCCTGGCACTCACCATAAGCTTTTATATAATTGCGTATATAGGATAGCAAAGTTCACTAGCAAAGACAGAATATTAATTAACTGTAGAAATAGGATTTATATTCAACATCAGGATGCTATTTCTTCTCTGCACGAATAGGGCACGTCGGAATAAGACCGAAACGCTCCACAGGAAGATGGAGACCCTGAGACAAATGCACAATCATAATCAGAACTCCAGATTGGTCCACAATTTATCATCAAGAAACCTCACAGATGAAGAAACCAGATTATTACAATGGGGTGCGGACCTCAATTTGGGGGATGCCCAGCCCGTTGACTTTATTGCGGCCGTAGAACCAACAATACAAGGTATGGCCACTAGTGAGACAGAGAAGAATGCCATAAGACAACGAGTTACAGGCCACAAACAACACCATGTACTACCGGCAGGGGAGAGAAAGGCCCTGGAAGAGCTGCGCAAGGACAATTCCATCGTGGTCCTGCCAGCAGATAAGGGAAGGGCCACGGTTGTCATGGACAGAGCCGAGTATAATGGCAAGGCCCAGACCCTACTAGATGACAACAGTGCCTATAAAGTAATTAGGACTGACCCCACAACGTCCATGAAAAATCAACTCAATAAGATCATAGATGGACTTAAGAAACGTGGAGGAATAAATGAAGAAGATCTGAGAGCTATACAGCCAAGGGACTCGGCTATGGCGAGATTTTATGGCCTACCCAAAATACATAAGGAAGGGACACCATTGAGACCCATTGTGGCACTTAGGGGCACACCCATGTTTGGTCTGGCTAAATGGCTAAGTCGAAGGTTACAACACCTACTGGAGGACAATATAACCACTGTGAAATCCTCACAAGAATTCTTACAGAGGCTAAAGAGGATGAGGATACGGGACGATGAGATTATGATCTCATTCGACGTAACATCACTATTCACGTCCATCCCGCAAGAATTGGCCATGATGACTATAAAAGATCTACTACAACTGAAAGGACTACGGAGTCAAAGTTCCCTTGGGATAGAAGATGTTGTCAGGTTATTACGGCTATGCTTGAAAACGTACTTCATATTCCAAGGAACAATATATGAACAAATTAAGGGCACGCCGATGGGATCCCCTATTTCGGGGGTCATTGCGGAGGCAGTCCTACAGTGTTTGGAAAGCAGGGCCATGGCCGACTACCAACCAGAGTTTTGGGCCTGGTATGTGGACGATACTTTCGTCAACGTCAAATGGGCAAGAAAAACTGCCCTTATGGAGAAACTCAACTCAATATTCCCGGATATACAATTCACAGCGGAGGAGGAGGCCAATGGTAGCTTGGCCTTCCTAGACGTTTTGGTTACACGTCAAATCAATGGTGCCCTCCATACGACGGTGTATAGAAAAGCCACTCACACCGACAGGATGTTGCACTGTATGAGCAATCACCCAGCAGCCCATAAGATCTCATGCGTTAGGCACTATTTGCACGTATAGACATGCACTGTAATACCAGGAGGTCTAAGCAGAGGGAGCGTGCACATCTTTATCAAGTGTGTAAGTGGAATGGTTACCCAACTAGCTTCATTCGGAGGTATAGCAAACGTCAAGAACCCCGCAGGGCACCGAATGATCCAGGGACAATAGCCCGAACAACAATACAGTATGTCCAGGGAGTATCGGAAGCAACAGTGCGCATATTGGCACCTTATAATATTACAGTTGCTCACCGGCCTGATCAAACACTCCGGATGAAAGTCATGCGCCCTAAAGAGCCATTGCCGAAGGAAGAAAGATCAGCGGTCGTATACAGAGTGCATTGCAAAGACTGCCAATGTAATTATACGGGGGAGACAGCCAAACGAATAAAAACTAGGATATATGAACATAAATTGGCTGTCAGAAGGCAGGAGCAATACTCTCAAATATGGACGCACATGATTAATACCGGACATTCTTTTGATTTCAAGGAGGCAGAAGCCATTGCCCAGGACGCCTCCAAAGGAGGACGTTTACTAAAGGAGGCCTGGTTCTCCAACACAGACTCCATCAACCGATGTATAGAACTGCCCTCGGCGTACCAGGTACTAAGAGTACAGGAAGAGCATGTCAAGAGACGGATGCCGATTGTCAGAGGCGAAACCAGGACTGGTGGGGGGGGGGTATTCACTACATGACTAGACATAGGGAGGATCCCATAGACACATCACAGGTGGGGACAGATGAGGGAATATTAGGGTCACAGACAGGTAAGGGTAGTAAAGGAAGAGAAGGTGGATATGATGGGGGACTGCAAGGAGAGGGGGACCAGGGAAGACTCTTGGGAACAGCGGAATTGATCGTACGGCCCAGAATACGGGGGAAGGGTATGCCCGACCCCAGGGGACTGATCAAAAGAGAAGGGGAGAGAGAAAAGAACAGAAAAGATGAGGCACGTAAGATTGGAAGCATATTCACGGATGGAGAGGGGATATTTGAGAAGGGAGTACGAATGGAGGAGAATAGCCAGGAACAGCAGGTAGAGCTGCAGATTAGAGAGGGGGAGGAAACAGGAGAGGGTGGGGTTGATAGGAATGGAGAAGGGCAGGCAGGAATAATAGGCAGGACAGCAGTTTTGGGGGGGGAAAGTTTGGGAAGGAGAGTCCAACAGGAACGCAGGTCGGTAGATGGGAACAGTACGTAGGACAGCAGGTAAGGGAAGGAAGAATGCTGGAAGAAACAGCAAACAGAGCAGTGGATTGGAGAGGGGGGGACTGATAGGAAAGGAGAAGGGCAGATGAGAATAGCAGGCAGGACGGCAGATTGGGGGGGAGGAAAGCTTGAGAAGGAGGGTTTAACAGGAATGGATGTTGGCATGTGGGAACAGCATGTAGGACGGCAGGTCAGAGGAGGAGGAATGTTAGAAAAGAGAGGATGGACAGAAATGGATGAACAACAGGCAAGTCAGCAGATGATGGGGAGGACATTGGAGAGGGGAAGATGGACAGTGGGGGAGGAGGGTAAACAGGAACAGCAGGTAGAGCAGCGGATCAGGAAGGAAAAGATATTGAGGAAGAGAACATCAATAAGAATGGTCGATGAAAGGCAGGAGCAATATGTTAATCAACAGGTGGGAGGGTTGAAGGAAGGGGGGGAAGGATGACAGGAATGGATAACAAAGGGTGTATGAATCGGCAGGCTGGGAGAGGAGGGGGGTTGGAGGAGGGAGTTGAAATAGGAACTGGCAATGGTATGCAAAAACGGCAGGTAGATCAGCAGCCCAACAGGATTCGTGTAGTGCCGAATCGGAGGAGGCACCTTGCATTGGGTAAGGAGGAGGGATTGGGGAGTGTGTCAGTGATAACAGCGCAGGGAGGGGGAGACAGCACAAGGATGACAAAGCAGAAAAATACAATGTTAGAGTGCAAAAAAGAGAGGGCGGAACAGTCAAGGCAGTCACAGGCAATCAGGAAGAGTGGCCCTGTCACGAGGGCAATGAGTAGGCAATTGGATCAGCAAGGGGATAAAAAGAACTTCCCCACCCCCTAAGCCCCACTCTGAGGAACTGGCAGAGGACCAGCGAAAGCTAAGTTGTTTTAATTCTTGTATATAACTGTTTTTATTGTTTTAAATGTTGTTTTAACAATAAATAACTGGAGTATACTCTTCCCGGAGATCGAAGATTGCATCATTGAACATATATATATATATTATATATCCTATATAATATCCCATATTCCAATAAATTGGCAATATATACACAAACTATATTACTTGTACACAATATTACCTGTATAAATGTCAAGACTGCTTTCTGCAGTAAACATTCAGCATAACAGAGTTCTGCATGCATTTCGTCTATTAAAAAAGAAATATATGAATATATGTATATATATATATATATCTTAGTATCTAGCATTGAAGCAAGAAATGCTAAAAACCAAAAGATATTCCACAAAATATTTACATTGTTTCTTAAATTGACTAATGTTATTTCTCTTACTTTAACCTTTAATTTTGTGATATTTTTTTAAACCAGTGATCTTTTCTCCCTATTATTTAGTCAAACCCTGAATATATGTGTCCTTTTACTATTTTTGCAAACTATTTTGTTTTATGTCAATGTTATTTTATTGTTTCTATAATATACATTATTTTTTAATCAAACATTTTTAGATTATGTGGTATCCGAAATAATTTTTTGAAGTATGTTACATAGATAAAAATAATTCTGAGTAAAGTTGAAAATAATTCATAAACCAGGCCATTACTGGTATAGAGGTCAAGGGAATCATGGCTTATTAAGTCATCTGGAAAATTTGTACCTGAAATTTAAACCAGGGTTTTGGAAAGATTTTTATGTTGGGGTGGTGTAAGATGTTTGGCGTGGTTTTTTTTTTGTTTGTTTGTTTAATCACAGGATGAACCTACTAATATTTACTTGGAAATCTAGCACTCAGCCTGCAGAAATAATGATGACTTTTAACTCTTTTGGCAGTTCTTAAAGTTCTGAAAATCTAAAGAAATAATATAAAAATGTGTACTGTGTTTGGTTATAAAAATATAGATATACATGCAATCCATTCAAATTGTTCAGAAAAAAACTTGTTGAATACACATGAAGGGCTTATAAGGAGACATAGAGTATACAACATATATACACTTAAGGCAACACTTAGCAATATTGGTTCTGTACTATGGTCACTAATCAGAATGCAACAAATCAACAGCCAATGTGACAATAGTTTTATAACTAGATCATCAAAGCAATCAAATTGCACTTAGTTTTACAAACATATAACCAAATTAGGCCATCTTCAGAGAAACAGAATACTTGTTTGTGTATTTAATTTTACATGAAATAGATCAGAATTGCCTGGGTACTTTGGTGAATAAGGGATGATAAAATGGGCCATTGCACCCTTATAAAACAATAAAATGTAAATCCTGAAGTATGGATTTAATAGGCCCTTATTATATCCAGAAGGATATTGCTTAAATGCAACAAGTGTTAATCATTTCTCCAACCCTGCCTAATCCTTAATAGCTTGTTTGGAACACTTGGGGCCACTTAAAGTGTCTATATACTGTTAAAACACTCATTCTTGTAACCTCTGTCGCAGACTCATTGTAGCAGCTAGACTGCAGCTCTTTGATAGTTACATTGTGTGATTGATATAGATCAGTGTTTCCCAAACTTGACAATTTTAAGGCATGAGGACTTCAACTCCCAGAACGCTGGCTGTGGAATTCTGGGAGTTGAAGTCCACATGCCTTAAAATTGTCAAGTTTGGGAAACACTGATATAGATGAACAAGGAAGCAAATTCAGAAGTGCACCATTCCAAATTACTGTGTATAACTCCGCCGGATGCTTCTCCAGATACCTCTCCAGATGTTAGGAGGGGAGTTGGTCAATGGCTCCAACAGCCATCTTAGAGGGATTGGCTGAAGTACAGCTGAAACAGGACAGCCATGAGGCTTCAGGTGCCTTTTGCACTTGATCTAAGAATTCACAGGGCAGAGAAAAGGCAGGAGCAGAGAAGGTCAGCCAGATTTCTCACAAGGAGTATGCTTGTGAGTATACTCATACTTCTTGATGGGCTGTATCAGAAGATGACTATTTGGCACAAATAATGGAGATGATGCTGGGAACAACATGCTCATTTCCTAGCTGTATGTTTTCTGGCTGTTGTGATACTTGCCTTGCTTTGGATTGACACTGTGCCTTGACTTAGATTTGGACTGTGAACTCTGGACTTTTCTTGCCTTGCGAACCCTCTTGTACTGTGGATTTAATTTTGCCTGGTGGGTTTATTTTGACTGGAAAACTTTCAGGTGCCTTGTGAACTCATTGGCCATTGCTCTGTGGACTAGCATTGGTCTGCTTGTGGCTGGACTTAATTGGGACAGTTCTGGGTTTTTGGTGAAGGGAGTAATAAAAGTAATACTTGGATCATTGCCAGACTTAAATATTTTATAGGTGTTTTATAAGACCTGTTATTTCAGAACTTGTAACATTGGTCAGTTAGAGAGCTGATTAATACTGAACTCTAAATTATATTCAGGCAAGTCTTCCTGTGCACATAAAGCCCTAAAATGCCCTCCACACATTATTGCCAATATAAGAAATGAAAGGGACCTATTAATTGAATGGAAAATATTGAAACCACCTAAACCAACATTAAAATTAAATGTTAAGTTTTTTAAAACATTTAACTATTGGTAACTCACTTTCAGGTTCCCATGGTTTTTGGATATTGAAGGATAAACATTGACACTGCTTGCCATCCAGAATCAGTTTAGGTGTGATTCTCACCCTTTGACACCAATGTTTCAAAAGGCAGATCAAAACAGAACTCAAGTATGCTGATAATATGGGCAGTTTTTTTTTTCTTTTTATAGAAGTGAAAAAAGTTACGGTAAACATACTTTTAAATAAAAATAAAGCACACCTCCCATGATAGTTGAGCTTTAGACTATTTTGCAAAAAGTTGTACATATTTTTCACAGTGAAAAAGATGTACATTTTGCAAAATAGACTAAAACTCACATATCATAGGAAGTCTGCCTGTGTGTGCGTGTGTATGAATATACACACACATACAAACACACACACACATTCACACCCCGTATATATCCAATCAAATCAGAAAAAGAACTTGTAATAGAAAATCTCCCACCCTATTTTTTCTTACCTTCACTCAGCTGATCTACAGGCTGTTTTGAAACTAAATTGGATAATGATTCCACCACTGTGTTTCTTTTTCTAAACCTGTGACATATATGACAAAAACACACTTTCAGCCTGTTGTTTAATTAAAGCAATTGTCATAAAAACAAAGAACCCTAAACAAGTTGTGCTCTACTGAATGTACAGGAAACACATTGTACTATTGCCCAAATAATTTCCAAAAATATGATGCAAATCAAACATAACTGCCAACCTGTCAGGGGAATAAGGGAACGGAGCCAAAAGATTATGGACACTTCTAACAACTGCTTTGCTGTGTTGCCTTCAATCTTGGCACCAGGAATAAATAATGCTTCCCTAAATCTTATCATTCTCACAGTACACCCTTAATATCCTCCAGGATAGCGTGCCCCATACCTCTAAGTTGCAACGTTTTAAGGTTGTGACTGGTGGTTCCCTTGGTGAAATTTCGCTCCCACTCACCATTAGCTGCAACCTGAAAAGCTACTTTGAATTGGCATACACAGTGTTCTAGTTACTCTATGCACTGCATTTTTTCCTCCTTGTTCTGGGACAAGCAGGTTATGTAGATTAGCCCTATGTGATTTGATAGCTAATAGAAGCTCTAGATAGAGCTATCTCAATTACTTGGCTACTGCAATGTTACCATCTGAGGAATATCTGCAGTAAAGTTTTAAAATGCAGCAAAGACGTTACTTACTTTTGAGAAGAAGAGGCAAAGACAATAGATCTAGGTTTACTTTTCAATGGAGTCAAGAGCAGATTTAAAATTTGAAAATTGCCATTTCTTTTTCATTCAACTTCATTGTTATAAAAAATTATATAAACATCAATAAGTAATAAAGATGTTGAGCTTCTCCGTTAAAATAACAAATATCTTTTTTATTTCCAAATTAACTAGAGTTCTACCATGAAAGTCAGCAGGGTGACCTTGGGCCAGTCACTTTCTCTCCACCCAACTCATCTCATATGGTTTTTGTAGCGGAATAAATAGGAGGAGAACCTGATGTTGAATATATTCTCTGCCTTGAGTTATTTGTACATATAATAAAGGCAGGATACAAACAAACAAACATATATTTTTCATTAGTAATGAAATAATACCAATCCTGATTATGTCAGTCCTGCAAGAATGTCATAAAAATTGTTCCATCTTACTTTTGACAAGTTTGTAAAGCTTCTTTCAATGTAGAAAGTCCCATCTGGATATCCTGTTGTTCAAATGTCATTGTTGCTTGAAAAACTAATATAGTACTAAAACCTAAGGCATGATACATGCTATCTTTAGACCTATTTTGAAAATAAAATATAAAGACAGTGAAAAGAAAGCCAATTACGATTGTCAAAAACAAAAGTGAAATTTTACATAATCTTTACAATACAATTTACTTGTAAAATGCTGCTTTGAGCCAAGACTATTTATCCCTATAAAATTCTTAAAATTACGCATTTTCTTTATTTGGGAATTATTTTGGAGTCCAATTACTTTTGTTATTTGCTTTTCAAAGAATATATGAATTCCAGTATACATCAAAATATGAGCTAAAATAGTCATTAATTTTAAGTGAAAACAATCAGGAACACTTTTTGCCTGGGGTTCCCAAACCTTGCAATATTGTGATGACCTCCCTCCCATAAAAGTAATTATCTCACGAGGCTAGTGCTGGCAAGAAATCAATATGCCATTTTTAATAATTAAAATTGAGCCTTTTTATATCAAGAAAAATAAAAACTTACGCTGAAAACAAAACACATTTTGTTTTTCTGACAAAATGACAAGTCTAAATGAATAAATCTTAAATATTTTATAAAATAAATACAAATAGGAGTATATTAAAGTTCATTTTTTAAATCACATTTTATAACAAAATAGTAATTTAAATCATACAATATTGTTTCATGAAATCCTTGTGCCTCTGCTGGGAAACAGACTCAGGTGAAAAACCGTATTTAGTGATATTCAAAGGTCTAAATTTGATTATCATGCCTAAGGCAAAATTTAGGGACCCTTCTCTCACTGACAGATTGAAAAATTCTGTTTGAGAATCGGATTAAATAGTTGCAAAACAAATGTTTTTGGCAAGAACAGAAATTGAAGTTGTATTATTCAGAGGCCTTAAATACATTTCTAGCTACCAGATGAAAACTCCAGCAAACAAAACTCACCATGGTCGAAGTAACTCCAGAGATTCTGAAAATTTATTATTAAGAAATAAATTTATTGCCATTGAGCACTCTTCCAAAGCACATTTTATGTCCATTTTTGCAGCCCTAATAAATGCACAAACAGAAAAAAAATTCATTATACTTAAATCATTACTAAGACTGTTCTGTTGTTTAATATGATCAGTTTCTCAGTGTCCGATCTATAGACAAGATTAAATTGAAATAATGAAGAGTCTATTGACTAATTATTATAACATAAAATATTTGTGATTTGTAAACATTTTATCAAGTTTATAGAGTATTATCCTCTCAAATTTTAGGGTCAGAGAGAGCAATGTACGTGTGGTACTACTTCTTACCTCGCCCCATCTCCTCAAATCATGGATATATATTTGATTATTCCAAATAACATTTCATATATTGATGCAGATTGTAATCTATAAATATGTACAGCATGATATAATTTCTGAATGTTATACAATTGTCATTTATGTTGTAGCAGACTAATGAAGCCCCAGAAAAAAGGACAATTAGACACTTCATTATAGGTAAGAAATCAGAATCACTGGTGCCCATAAGCTTAGAAAAGCTAAGATGCCATTATGAAAGAATTCCAGCAACTGCCATTCTATTTTTATACTGCAATTGGTGTTCCAATTCTTGCACCTCTTTCTCCTGCTTGTCCTAGATAAAGAGCTAAAAAAGCAATCCTTTCTGGAATGGGAGAGAATTTCCATCTGTTCTTGTTTTGGCAATGGCAAAGCTGGTATCCTGTATGCTTCCCACACAGGCTGATATACACTGCTTATTCAGTTCATCCTATGAGTAGAAGTAGGTAATGAAATCATAAAATTTTGATCTGCACTATTATGTTCAGTCTGGGATTCCTGGCACTTTATTTCTTTGGACTTTGGAATCCATGTGATTAAGAGAGCTTTAAGACCTCAAAAGATTTTCCTGTGGCAATTACTGCATAGGAAAGCTTGTGGCGGAGGTCTCCAAAAAGCCAATGTAGCCTGTGTAAGTTCCAGAAACGTAACAGAATTAAATCTTCCAAGATGTGAAGATGTGTCCCTGATGGATAGAAAGGGGACCTTGGCTCAGAACACAAAAATGGTTCTAATGGATCAGATAGTACAACAAGGCAAGGCAACAGGGTGAACCATGGCTACTGAGGCTACTAAGGTGAGATAAGAATGATGTTGGTTAAATCTTTGTTGATCTTCACCAGAACTGTTACAGTGAAAGGGGTGAAAACATGCAGAAAGAGAATTATTGTTTTTTTTAAAAGGAAGAAATCACTAACAAATTGGGGGTCTATCCCATCTCACTTGCAAAAAGTTAGATGTTGTCTTACAGTGCATATAGGTTAAATGTAGCTGCCCCAGTGGGATTTGACAGTGTTTATTGCTATTTTTAAGTTAAGTTTCAGATATAGCTGAGCCAATCAGGGAGGACATTGCTATAGCCAGGTTTATGGTTTACCACTACTACTTCTTTACAGACCAGACTATTGTGGGAGTGTCTAATATCATCTGGCCACTCTGGTCATGGCATAGCACTGGAAAGGTGACCATAACATTGCTTTCTATATTGAGATGCTCAGATATGTTCATATATCTGAATGCTTCATGGCTGGACCATGTATCTCAGATACAAAGGGCCTGGACATGAGTTCTTCATCTTTATGTAGATGCATATATGTGGAGGAGGGATGTATGAAAAAAACTTCCAGTGAAATTGTCTGAAAACAGCTATTAGTAGAAGAAACCTGTAATGTAGGGTAGAACCAAGAGGAAAAACGATTTACTTGATCTCTCTTCTACCGCAATTGAAAAGAGAGTGGTTCATATACATTCACAGTAAAATAAAATAAAATAAAATTCAATTAATCAAATAGTATCAAACCATTATTCAATCTCATAACCAATTTATCTTCCTTAGACTCTCCAATGTACCAGTAACTCTATTTTTAATAGTATAGGGTGGAAAAAAGAAGAGGGGGGGTACACTAAATCCCTGGGGAAGATTATTTCAAAGTACAGAAGGTCCTGCTATAAGTCTTCTCATATGCCTTCTCCTTATATCATGAAAATGGGGAATTTCAAGCAAATTCTCTTTAAGATGTTTGAATTGGATGAGTTGAAATTAGGTGCAGAAAGTGGTCCTAAAATACTTTAGTGCCAAGCCATGTAGGGCATTAATGGTCAAAATGATTGCAATCAGAAACAAATATGGAACTATCTTATGTTTGTTCTTACAAAACCACTACGCTCAACGGAGAATATAAACATTTCAATCAATAAGAATAGAGCTAGAAGGGACCTTGGACGCCTTCTAGTCCAATCCCCTGCTCAAGCAGGAGACCCTACAATTTAAGACAAGTGACTGTCTAGTATCTTCTTAAAAACCTCCAGTGACGAAGCACCCAAAACTTCAAGAAGGCAAGCTGTTCCACTGATTAATTGTCCTCACTGTTAGAAAGTTTCTCCTTAATTCCAGGCTGCTTCTCTCCTTGATTAGTTTCCATCCATTGTTTCTTGTCTTACCTTCTGATGATTTGGAAAATAAGTTGACTCCCTCTTCTTTGTAGCAGCCCCTCAAATACTGGAATACTGCTATAATGTCACTCCTAATCTCTAGACTATCTAGTCTCCAGGCCTTTAATCATCCCTAGTTTCTCTTCTCTGCACTTTTTCCAGTCTCAACATCTTTTTTGTAATGTGGTGACAAAAACTGGATGCTGTATTCCAGGTGTGCTCTTACTTACATGTAAATACTTAAATACATTCAGAAAAAAACTCATGGATTACAAAACAGACAAATGATAAGAGCTTACAGTAAATAGATCCATTCGAGCTAAGGAAGCAATGAGATTAGGGTTTTACAGATATGTACAGTGTGCATCCTGCAAATCTCCCTGCAAATTTATAGATGGAAACCACAACCCCTTCTTCAAGTGGAAAATTGATATTATATTGAAACAACCTTGCTTCAAAAAATAGTTGAAATGGAAAAGATCCAATGCATTATGAAGTCACAATCCTCTTTAGGAATGATGAGATATCTAGAGCGACGTTGGAGGGCCAGTAACTCTGAATCTGACCGATCACTATTAAGAGCCTATCTTAGGACTTATTTAGTGGCGATAAGGGCGGCAAAGCCTGTTCACTTTTCCGCACTTATTGCGTCCGCAGAATCTCGCCCGGCCGCCTTGTTTAGGGTGACCTGCTCCCTTCTTAAAGTGGAGGAGGCGGAGGAATCCTTGCAGGGGAGAGCTGAGGAGTTTGTTCAGTTTCTCTTGGACAAAATCGCTCAGATTCAGAGAGACCTGGACTCCGACTGGGCAGTGCCAGCCGAGATGCCGGGGGCTGGTCTTAATCATGTTATCTGGAGCGAGTTTGAGCCTGTGACCCCTGATGAAGTGGACAAGGCCGTGAGGGCAATGAATGCCGCCACCTGCTTATTGGACCTGTGCCCCTCCTGGCTGGTTTCTGCCAGTAGGGAGGTGACACGAGGCTGGTTCCAGGCAATAATCAACGCCTCCTTGATGGAGGGGTCTTTCCCACAACCTTTGAAGGAAGCGGTGGTGAGGCCCCTCCTCAAGAAGCCTTCCCTGGACCCAGTTGTTTTGAAGAACTTTCATCCTGTCTCCAACCTCCCCTTTGTGGGGAAGGTTGTAGGGAAGGTGGTGGCGTCCCAACTCTTGCGATCCTTGGATGAAACCAATTATCTGGACCCTTTTCAATCTGGTTTCAGGCCCGGCTACAGCACTGAGACTGCTTTGGTCGCAGTGACTGATGATCTCTGGCGAGCCCGGGATAGGGGCCATTCCTCTATCTTGGTACTTCTTGACCTCTCAGCAGCTTTCGATACCATCGACCATGGTATCCTTCAGCGTCGTCTCAGAGAGGTGGGGGTGGGTGGCACCGTATTGCGGTGGTTGTCCTCCTACCTCTCTGACAGGTCGCAGTCGGTGTTGGCAGGTTGACAGAGATCGACCCCTAGGCGCCTTGATCATGGGGTGCCTGAGGGCTCGGTCCTGTCCCCCCTCCTTTTTAACATCTACATGAAACCTCTGGGTGAGATCATTCGGCGACACGGGATGAGGTATCATCAGTATCTGGATGATACTCAATTGTATATATCCACCCCGTGTCCTTTCGATGAAGCAGTCAACGTGATGTGCCGGTGCCTGGAAGATGTGAGGGTCTGGATGGGGATGAACAGGCTTAGACTCAACCCTGACAAGACTGAGTGGCTCTGGGTTTTGCCTCCCAAGGGTCAACCTGATGGTCCATCATTAGTCCTGGGGGGGGGTAAATTTACCCCCTTCAGTGCAGGCACGCAACTTGGGTGTCCTCCTGGACTCACAGCTAAATTTGGAACAACATCTATCGGCTGTGGCCAGTGGGATCTTTGCCCAGGTTCGCCTGGTGCACCAGTTGCAGCCTTATTTGGACCGGGAGGCTTTAGTCATGGTCACTCATGCCCTTGTCACCTCAAGACTGGATTACTGTAATGCGCTCTACATGGGGCTACCCTTGAAGAGTGTTCGGAGGCTGCAGTTGGTTCAGAATGCAGCCACGAGAGCGATTGTGGGTGCGCCAAGGTACACCCATGTGTCACCTATCCTCCGCAAGCTGCACTGGCTTCCTGTGGGTCTCTGGACGCAATTCAAGGTGTTGGTTATCACCTTTAAAGCCCTTCATGGCATAGGACCAGGTTACTTACAGGACCGCATACTGCCGCATAGTTCCCAGAGACCGGTGAGATCCCAAAGATTGGGCCTCCTTCAGGTCCCGTTGGCCAGACAATGTCGGCTGGCGGGCCCTCGGGGAAGGGCCTTTTCTGTGGTGGCTCCGACCTGGTGGAATCAACTTCCCCCCGAGATTCGAACTACTCCCACCTTGCCGGCCTTTAAGAAAACCATTAAAACTCTCCTGTTCCGGCAGGCCTGGGGCTGATGTCCCCGGGGGGGGGGCAGGATACGATTGGACATGCTGTATGAATGTACTTATTTTACTGTTCTATTGTTATATTTATTGTTTTAATTTTGTACGCCGCCCTGAGTCCCTCGGGATTGGGCGGCATATAAATTTTAG